GTGACCCCCACCCACCCACCCACACACAAATAAGTAAATAAATTTTCAAAGGTGATGATCCAGTTTAACCTGGGCTCTGATTATCCTTTACTGGGCATTCTCTGAAGGAACAGAACTAAAAAAGATGAATATGTGATTATTAGATTGGCTTTCAGAAAGAGTTGCTACAATCCAACATTGGCAGTTTCCCATCAGAGAAGCCAGACAAGAATCCATGAGGCTGAGTACCTCAACAGTCCCACTCTTAACACCAAAGACCTGCAGGATTCCTGGACAGCTGCTGGTCTCCAGTCCATATCAGAAGCCCAGAGGCCTGGAGAGATGGTGCCATGGTAAGATCACTGTCTGTTCTTCCAGAGGATCTGGGTCGGATTCCCAGAATCCACATGGCTACTCACCTTGAAAGTCCAAAGAAGCCGGTTCCAGTGTCAGGGTAGATGAACTCAGCAGTGTGGGGGAAGGCCAGGCCATGAAAACATGAAAAGCTTTCTTTCTTTCATGTCCTTTTATCTTGGCTGTTCCCAGAAGGAATTGGCCACATTTGGGATGGGTCTTCTCACATTAGTTAAGGTGATCAAGACAATCCCCCACATATGTGCCAACAGGACGACCTAAGATAGAAAAACCCCACATTAACACTCTTCACATGTGATTCTCAGCTGTGTCAAATGATAATTAAAACTATCAAAAACCTTATCCACCATTTGTAAAAATTCTGCACAAAGAAGAATACTAAAAATAATGGGAGAATGTAGGCAGGGTAGCATACACCTGTCATTCCAAGTCTTGGGAAGAAGAAGATTAGGAATTCAAGGCTGTCTTCAGCTGCAAGGCTAGCCTGAACTACATAAGACCCTATCTCAAATAGATGAAATAATAATAATAGTAATAATAATAATAATAATAATAATAATAATAATATAAATGAGCCAACATCAATTAATTACCATGTTCTACAAAGAGCAACCAAGTCGCTTACATGATGAAAAAGATGAGTCATTGCTTGCAGTGTGAGCTGGAATGTCTCCAGGAAGAAAGCTCAGTTACAATCGCCTGTTCATTCGTCTGACACTCTATTGTCTCAGCACTCAAGACATATATATTTTTATGACAGCCTTTAAAATACTGAGAAACATATCATTGAAGAAGAAAGTATATAATATACACATACCACTTACTATTAATAATAAAGCAAACACAAAGCACTTCATAAAAGAAATAGCAGTGAACATGTAAAGGCTCGGTATCACTGGGTATGAAATATTTGACATTCTATTGTGGAAATGCCAACACACAAATTATCCTTGTTCATTTTTATTGCTGTAGCTTTGCATTTCCCCATACAGTGCTGTGCAAACATTTTATTAGAAATGGTAAAGAAAGCCCACTATTAACCTACCCCACCAAGTAATTCGATTGCAGATATAACAGCCTTGGCAGCTGGGTAGTAAAGATGGTTGCTGCACCCAGCAAATTGTAAAAACAACGTACCAAGGGATAATGAAAAGGTGCACAGATGAGAGCGCCGGCTCCTCTTCCAGAGGTCCTGAGTTTAGATCCTAGCACTTGTGTTGAGTAGCTCACAGCTGGCTATAGCTCCAGCTCCAGGAGATCTGATGCCCTCTTCAGGCTTCTTTAGGTACCTGTACACATGTGGCACACACGGAACACACACACACACACAGAGAGAGAGAGAGAGAGAGAGAGAGAGAGAGAGAGAGAGAGAGAGAGAGAGATACACATAAAATATTTTTAAATCTTAAAAATTCAGTTGTGAGGTAGTGGTGATGCACTCCTTTAACCCCAGCACTCCAGAGGCAGAGGCAGGTAGATCTCTGAGTTCAAGGACAGCATGGTCTACAGAGTGAGTTTCAGGACAGCCTGGACTACACAGCGAAACCCTGTCTGTACACACACAAAAAAAGGACTCACAAAAAGAAGAAAGAAAAAAGAAAACATGTCTGAACAAGAGTAAGAGAGGTTAGAAGGATGTGTCACAGAGTGACAGGTTTCTGTTTCCCTATAGTAAAAACTTACAACCCAGCCACTTAGGGAAATACAAGAGAGTTGAAAAGAGGAATTCAGGGTTCCTGCCCTGCATCACAGGTAACTGTGAGGATGATGTGATGGGTGAATCATTAGACTAGAAATTAGCACCTCTCCTGTGTGACTGCAAGAGTTGTATCCAATTTTCTCCAGCTATTAGATGGGAATGTCATTTCCACCCAGACTTCACTCGTGAAGATGTTTGTTCAACCCCAGAAATACCAAAAAATGAACTCTAAGGATAAGTGATCTTAATTTAACTTTGGATATTAACAATTAATATCCATCCCTGAAGCCACAAGGGTAAACTATTTCAGAATATATCCCTTAAATAAGAGAGGAAGGGATTTTGAGCTGTGCACTATGGGAAAGGGATGCCTATCTCCTGCAGTTAGCATCACAAACCAGTGTGTGTTCTACTACAGGGAAGTGCTCCTACTTCTTACTTAGCTCACAGAAAAATCCACCTTGTCCATTGCTGTCCCGACCTGCAGGACATCAACCTGGGGCAAGAGAGTCAGGGATAGGGAATGGGGACAAGTGACGCAGAAAGAATGACCACAAGACAGGATTCTGATCAAGTGGCAAACTTCACGTTTCTCAGGCTAGCTTATATAGTCAGGATATGGGGAGGGGCAAAATGGGTTGTTTCTGCATCAGGTGTTAGTATAGGCAGGATATTAGGAAGCCACAAAGAAGAAATTTGGCAGGGTAAAGAGTTCATGAGTAAGAGGTCCAGGAAGGGGTTGCCTAGGTGACTGAGCCTGTGGGTGGAGGACTGGGTTAAGTTGTTTCTTTTCTTGATCTGAGGTTCTAAGGAGCTGCCATGTAAAGGTTAAGTATGTGACCTGCCAAGAATGGCCTAGGATCTCATGCCAAGCCCTAAGATTTGGCTCCCAACACATTGCCCCACTTAAGATTCCCCTGCTCTGGGCAACCTTCCCTCCATACTTTTATTTCCATGATGCTTTCATGCTCTTGAATTCCCTTTATGGCCTGGGGGCATCCTTCCAGCCCCCCTGCCTCCCACCATGTTACCGTTTTGTGCTGGTCCCATTTGGTCTCCTTACATGCACTATTTTGGTAGCTCCCACTTCAGTCTAAACCACAAACTTCTGCGGGCAGATCCTGCGCATTGTAAATTACTTACTGTGTTCTCCCAGAGCCCAACACAGAGCTCTGCTCAACGTGGAAGCTCAGTAAGTAGTCATTAAAATGAATCCAAGTGAGATTGGTGCCACCTGGTCTACCTAGCAAGTCCTAGGCCAGCCAGGGCTGCATAGTGAAACCCTATTGAAAAAATAAAATTGAATCCAAGTGGGACAGTCTTCGAAATTGACGGAAACAATGGAGTGAGCTGAGAAAGCAATGTGTCAGAGCAGAGTTCCTAGTAGTGAGGTCAACCTCAGGCCTCAGTGAGTGGAATGTGGCTTATGTCACAACCATTTTGCACCAATAAGCAGTTTGTGTCTTTTGTGTATGTATTGTGTGTGTTGTGTGTGTATATATGTGTTGTGTGTGTATGTGTGTGATGTGTGTATTGTGTGTGTGTGTTATACATGTATGTGTGTTGTGTGTGCATTGTGTTTTGTGTATGTTGTATTACGATGTCTGTGTGTGTTTTGTGTGTGTGTTGTGTGTATGTGTGTGCTGTGTATATGTATTGTATGTATGTGTCTGTGTGTTGCATATGTGTTTTTCGTGTGGTGTGTGTGCATGTGTGTTGTGTCTGTGTATGTTGTGTGTGTTTTGTGTGTGTGTTGTATGTATGTGTGTGGTATGTGTATGTGTGTTGTGTGTTTTGTATGTGTGTTTGCCATGGTGTCATTTATCTGGGGATTTGGGATCTCAGCTGAACAGTGCCTGCCTTTTTCAGGAATCTTACTTGGTAACAGGGAAACTCAGGCTCAATTCTTTTATATGGTTGTCCCCAGGGCCTACATAAGTCATTTTGGTGTCAGAGAACAGGGTGCCAGGAGTGAATGTGGACTCAGAGTAATAAGGACTTGTTTGATCATCAGACATCACAGCAAGGAAAAGTCTGCAGTCTCCATGGAAAATTTTCCACTCTCTTCCACCAGCTGTGGTGGAGGGGTGGGGGATGTGTAATAATTTGCACCTCTGCCCAGAGGATGTCATTTTTCCTGCAACTATCTGTGCTGCTGGCTGACAGCATGGGATTTCCTCCTAGACTGAGCTGCCAACTGCTCTCACAAATAGCCAATCAGGCTGTGCAAAGGGAGCAGCTTGCTGGGATCTGCTAGAGGGAGAAGGAGGGAGAGGCGGGCCAACTTGGCTCTGTAGCAGAGGGCCTCTGCACTCAACACTCACTAAGTTCTGTTAATTCCGTGGGATTTCACTGCTCAGTACTCCCATATCTCCATCTCCCATCCCCCACTCCCACACTACCCCCCATGCTCCCTGCTTTGATGATAATGAACTGACCTTCTAAAGCTGTAAGCCAGCCCCCAGCTAAATGCTTTTATAACATTGCTGTGGTCATGGCATCTCTTCACAGCAGTAAAACACTGACTAAGACAGAGATCTTCCTGGAAGATGGAGGTCTCAAAGTTTTTGCAGAGATGCTCTCTACTTGCTATTAATCTTGACTGTTGACCTGACTGGACCAAATGATACCCAGGAGTAGTAAGGCTAACCTCTGTGTATGCATGTGAGGGGTTTCCCACTGACATGTGCGACAGTAACTGAGAAGGAAAGACATTCCCTGAATGTGGGTGACACTGCCCAGTAGGTTAGGAGACCCAGATAAACTAAAAGTGGGAATAGAGGATGCCAGCCTTTCAATGCAGACTCATGCTACAGTTCTCCAGGAGCTTCCAGGGATTCCCTCAGTCTGAGCTGTACCACTGGCCTGCCTCGTTCTGAGGCTTCCAGCCTCTTGCACTGAGCACTGCTAGGTTCTCTACTCTTCCCTCATTCAGACAGCCATGGTGAGGCCACACAACCTCCAATCATGGAAGCCAACCTGGCAAATCTTTTGTTATTTTCTTTTTGTTTCTGTTTTTTGTTTGTTTGTTTGTTTTTGTTTTTTTGTTTTTCGAAACAGGGTTTCTCTGTATTGCTTTGGAGCCTGTCCTGGAACTCATTTTGTAGACCAGGCTGGCCTTGAACTCAACTCACAGAGATCCGCCTGCCTCTGCCTCCCGAGTGCTGGGATTAAAGCCTGTACCACCAATGCCCAGCATGGATCTTTTTTTATTTTATTGTTGTTGTAGAACAGGCTTTGCTTTATTTTCATGGGGCACATGCTGTTAGCTCCATCTTTTTTTTTATTAGTTCAAATTAGAAGCAAGCCTGTTTCACATGCCAATCCCTTCTCCCTCTCCCTTCCCTCCTCCCCCAACTCCCCACCAGCCTCCCACCCCATCCCCCCTCTGCTCCCAGGGAGGGTAAGGCCCTCCATGGGGAATCCCCAAAGTCTGCATATCATCCTGGGCGGGGCCTAGTCCCTCCCCCATGTGTCCAGGCTTCGAGAGCACCCCCCACATGAAAGGGCTCCCAAAGTCCTTTCTTACATCAGGGATAAATACTGATCTACTACCAGAGGCCCCATAGAGTTCTGAGGCCTTCTCATTGACATCCACGTTCAGGGTTCTGGATCAGTCCCATGCTGGCCTCCCAGCCATCAGTCTGGGGTCCATGTGCTCCCCCTTGTTCAGATTTTGAACAGAACCAAAATCTCCTATTGGTTCTGTTCCTCCAGAGAACCTCAACCAACACAGATTGTGCCACAATGGTGCTGTGTAGACAGCTACTCCAAATTCAAAGGCTTGCAGCCATAATTATTCCCATGGTCGTGTGGGTTAACAGGAAGTCAGATGACAGAATTTCTGTTGCTTTTGTCTCCTTATTCCTCTTGGGATCTGAGGCCTAGCCTAGGAAGGTCCTTGTCATAGTGGCTGTTTCTTAAACAATGTCTACCCCTCCTCCTAGTTCCCAACGCTAAACTAAGGCACAGTTCCACCAAAGTTCACTCAAGGGAGCCAATGAGTTCATTGGGTCTCTACAGAGCATGGGTGAGTGGTTACTTATGGGATGAAAACCTTTATCTAGCAGGAATGAAGGCTATTCTGTAACAGTCCCCTAGCCTAGTCTTCCTGGGACTCTATAACCTAGCCCCTCCCTGAGGCCATGTGCTATAGAGCTTCACACAAGTGATAGAGAGTGGCTGGAATCTCAGGTAAGGGTCTCCTAACCCTCCCCACCTCTCCATGTGTGAGTATTAAACCATCAACAAGCCTAGCTGCTGTAATCCTTTTGCAAGGGGGCACAACTGAACTCTCAAAATGGCAGGAGCTTGGCTTGGAGGAGTCACTAACAGTTCAGGGGAAGAGAAACACATCTCAGGCCTCTGACAACACTACAGATGCTAGTGGTTTGTTAGCCAAAGTACTAGATACAGTAAACTAGAGAATGAAGACAAAACTGAGAAAGGTGTCACATAAGGACAGGCAAAGGCTTGGCCAATGTTTCCTTGTCCATGAAGCAGGCCTATGGTTGGTAGTGTGGTCTGATTGAGTGATTCCTGGACATCGGTTATCATTGAAATCAGGCCCAGGTGAAGGTTGTTCAGTGG